CTTGACTTGACAAACATGACATCTGACATATTCCTTATCCTTAAAACCAAAAAACACAAGATCTTAAAAGCTAAAAATCCGCTCAGCGCCATCTATCTGACCCTTGCTTAATTATTTAAATCAAAACATTCTTTTTTATAATTATTGTTTACATTAACAACGCCGCCTTGGACCATTATTTGCACCCAGGATAATGCAAACTAATAGTGAAATCCATTGGTAAAATCAGTGCGCACTGAGTGCATGTGCAAGTGCACAGAAATACATGTTTTTTGCACTAATTTCACCAATGATTTTCGCCATAACTACCACTACTATTACAGGATAGCTTATCATCATAAGGCCTGTGTATATCAAATCTCAAGGCCCCCACCACGCCAAAGAACCAGTGATTACGTAGCAGCGTGTCGTTTCTCGCCTTGACGTAGGGTGTATTCACCACAGGTTATGATCCCATGATAACATTTTTCATCATAAATGTATAGGTATTCTAAACTACGACCGCTTGCGCGAACAGCTGATGACGCAGTTGATGATGTCGTCATTAGTGTCACATCATAAGGCCGCAATTTCCACAAATGATAAGCAATCCTGTGTATTATCGTATTATCCTTGCATTTGCACTATTTCGAAACGAAAAACTTCCTCTGTGTAAATGTCAAACATTGTTGCATACATTTAGGAGTTTTCGGAAACACTTACCCTCGCACTTACTCGATTTCAGGCCTTTTCATTATATACTCTTAAATTTCCTAGAGAAACCTTAACGCATGTTGCGTTTTAAAGGTAGGGCATGATCATTTGAAAGGTAGGGCATTGCCCCCCAATGCCCCCCTGGCTACGGCCCTGGTTGGCAACCGTGCATATATCACAAATCCATTTTAGAATACTATTTTGTTTTTCTCCAATTCGTTTTTGTAATAAAACATAAGAATTCAGACAAAAATATGCTTCTATTTCTACAGAAGATATTTCTTTTTCAAGAAGAAGTGGATCAATTTGTTGATGATGAGGAATGTTTTATTTCTCATTTTTAAAGTTTTTATGTAATGCTTTGCTTACCAAATCATCTGTATTTAAAACTGCATTAAGCAGTATCTGGTGCCTCAGTTTAGGAACTTCATTTTTGAAGAAAACACTTTCATTTTTCTTAGACCTTTTTAGTCCAATTGCAGTTAATTGATGTCCCTTGGTTCTTCCTTTATGGGTTTTAAAGAAAATTTAATAATTTTTATTTTTTCACAATTAATCAGAGCAAATTTCACTGGTTGAAAACAGTCAGAAACAGTCAGAAAACTAGTATCAACCAATGAAATTCACTCTGACTGGTTTGTGATTTCTGCAGAAACAGACTTATCTGGAATATTATTCTTTGTAGATACTTGCGACGATACTCCTTAATTAGACAGAATTAGAAATAAACATCTATTTTTCGGATTTTCAATATTACCACTAAAGATCCGCATTTTCGGACCCCTAATATACAAATTGAAAATCCGAAAATTATCGGATCTTTAGTATGAATACTAGAGATCCGAATTTTCGGACCTCTATCCACTGCCTTTTTTTTATAAATACATGAGACATCTGCTTCATAAAAATGTCCCGTTTTTTTAACAGAATAATATGGTAGCCTTAATTCTTTTAGGTAGTAAGATACTCCTCCTGATCCGTCAGTCTCATTTCTTGTAACAAGTCGTGGATAACACCTTGATTTGTTTGATGCTTAAACAAATCCCTGACCCAAAATCGTTCTGTTATTATTTTAATTTGGTCCGACGTCACAAATAAGTTGAAAATATTCGGATAAAAAGTGACGGGAAATTTTTCAGCCAATAGGAGCTCCGTCGCGTACCATCGGACGGTCGGATAATAGACGCATGACACTACAGCCTATCACGTGTACGGTAGTGATAATCAGGGATGTGCGTCTACACGTAGACTTTCATTGTCTACTTTACGTGTAGACAATGTAGACAACGCGTCAACAATGTAAAATAATATAAATGACGTTTAATTCTAACCTCACACTTTCCTTTTTGAAAATTATTTTTATTTTATTATCGGTTTTCCTCATATTTATAATCAGTGAATGCTAATATCAAAGTGATAGGTATAAGCTACTTAGGTAGTAGTAATTTTGGAACTTTTTTTAAAATTTTCTAAAATAAGTTTATTGTTTACGTCACATGTAGACAATGTGTAGACAAATGCCCACGTAAACAATTCGAATTGTCTACACGTAGACAATCAATTGTTTACGTTGACATTGTCTACAGGCACATCACTGGTGATAATAGTGATATACATGGTTCCTTTTTTTTGAATAAAATATATGAGAAATAGTCTCATATTAAACAAGCTAATATGAGATATGAGAAACAGTTAAAATATATGAGTCTCATATTAAAAATAGGAGGTCTGGCAACCCTACCTGTGTAGAACAAATTTAAAGCGCTCCACTACGCCAAATCACCAGTTGTGACGTAGCAGCACGTCGTTTCTCAACTTGACGTAGGCACTGTTATGATTCCGCAGTCTCTCGTTTGCATCTTCCTATTTGCCTATTATGTTAATCAAAATAAAATGATACTTTTCATCATAAATTTAAATTCTAAACTAGGACCGCTGGCGCAAACAGCTGAGGATTTAATTAATGACGTCCGCTATGGTGATACACCAATATGGCCGCGATTACTGAAATCGAGGCCAATAAGCAGTCCTTATGTCCGTATTACATCTGTGTATTTTTCCGTGTATTTATTCATGTAGTTCAGGGTGCCAACATTATTTTGTTGTTCATAATGCTGATTTATGTTGCGTTTGAAGTTTTTCGGTTGTCACCCTGAACTACATGAATTAATACACGGAAAAATACACAGATGTAATACGGGCATTAGTAGGGTGTATTATCCTTGTGTTATACCTACCGATTTTGTGCTGTAATCTACCGATTCTCAACGTCAATTTCTCCCGATTTAGTATTTTGACGTTCGACGACACTGGGGCTCTCAGACTATAAATACTTTTTTAGGCGACTGTCACAAAAATATTAGTTTTACGGATTCAATATCATCCCTAAAGTACCTATATCTTTTTTGGCCGCATTTACTTTACGCCCGCATTTACTTCACGGCCGCATTTGCTCTATCACTTTACGGCCGCTTTTACTTTACGGCCGCTACTTTGGTGAAAATAAACACACAATCGAAAACGCGGTGTCGTAACCATCAACACAACCAATAAACAATTAGTTAGCAACCACAATGATACCAAATTTTTAATTTTAGGTCTATCCAAATTTCCACATAAAATGCTAAAGAGAACGGCATAAGATTAAAAATTTGGGAGAAGAAGTATTTTCTTGCATTTTTTTCGGAAAATGCCAAAATTAAAAAATCCTCAACGTTATGGTTTACAGGTCTACCTATGTATACTCTATGTTAAAATTTACAATTATAGTCGAAAATAACATATCAGCAAGTTTTCAAAATTGATTGCTTTTTTAAAAAAGCACTGTGTAGGATACCAGGCGAGAAAGTCGGTAATTTTCTACAATCACACTTTCTTTATCGTAGTTTTTGTTACTAATATTTAAGTATCTACCTTATCTTTGCTGGATTATTTATTTGATCAACAAACGTTTAAAGCTATTGTTGAATTTTCTTCTTTTTCAAGAACAAACACTCGCCTAAAAAATTTTATGTGCACCTCAGCCGAAAGATCAACTTTACGGCCTTGGTACACAAATAACTATTACTTGTTTTTGATTCCAATCAAAAACTGCTTGATAGCAAACTAGAGTATAGTTTGCCATTTTTAACTTATTTTATTACCCATCAATTTTAGTTCCTTAACGTACAGGGTGGCCCAAATTCGAGCCTCATCATTGGGATCTCGATAACCGTAACAGATACGGGGTCGGTTAAATTATGGCAAAGTTGCGCAATTGTATGACCAACAGAATGCTGTTTTGAAACTAGACAGATTCCGAATACTTCCGGAGATATTCGGAAAAAACCGAAATTTTGTAAAATAGTTTTTATTTTTTCCCGGGCTTATTTGAAAAGCAATTTAAAAATAAATGTCACTTCATCATTGTCACTTTTTCGCCTTTAGAAGATGGTGCTACTAAATTTAAAATTCGACGTTTCGTCTTCAGGCGGCCATCCTCAACTTCCTTTTTTTAAATACGGACCTGGATTTTTTATTTGCGATTTTGTCATCTTTGGGCATCCTAAAACCGATACTGTTAATAATTTTTCAATACCACGGTGAAAAAAGCAGGACTGTATTAAAAAAAAAAAAAATTGATGATGATTTCCAGAGAAAAAAAATTTAAGAAAAACGAGAAATTAATTTTTTCCTGATTTTATTTGAAAAGATTGTGAAAAACTAACTTTACATTCCCATTGTCACTTTTGGCTTCTCTACAAGATGGCGGTATAAAATCTAAAATCCAACGTTTCGTTCCTCTGGAATCATCATCAATTTTTTTTTTTAAATACGGACCTGCTTTTTTTACTGTGTTAGTGAAAACTTATAAACAGTATCGGTTTTAGGATGCCCAAAGATGACAAAATCGCAAATAAAAAATCCAGGCCCGCATTTAAGAAAAAGGAAGTTGAGGATGGCCGTTTGAAGACGAAACGTCGAATTTTAAATTTAGTAGCACAATCTTCTAAAGGGGAAAAAGTGACAATGATAAAGTGACATTTATTTTTAAATTGATTTTCAAATAAGCCCGCAAAAAAAATAAAAAAGATTTTACAAAATTTCGGTTTTTTTTTTAATATCTCTGGAAGTATTCGGAATCTTTCTAGTTTCAAAACGGCATTCTATTGGTCATAAAATTGCGCAACCTTGCCATAATTTAACCGACCCCGTATCTCTTACGGTTACCATTACCAAGATCCCAATGATGAGGCTTGAATTTGGGCCACCCTGTACATACATCGTGAACTATTGCTAAATAAATAAAATAAAATACTTTGTTTTAGATACCAACAAACAATATCAACAACAATAACAACAACGTGAATCCACCGCCTCCGCCGCCCCGGCACTCGTCGATGCGTGACGTCAACAACCACCACCAGCCGCCGCGCAGAACCGTCGTGGATTTGGAGGAGAAATTCCGAAGTGCCTTTTGTACTCCGGACAGGTTTCCCAGGCCTCCGCCCTATAGAAACGTGCTAAAGCTCTATTCGAACCGACAAGGTCAGTATATCAGGAATTTTGTTGGATTTTGATTGTATTGTATATAATTGTTTGTTTGTTATTTTTGAGTAAAGTATGTTCCAGTTGATGCAATTTGGGCCGATTTATTTAAATCTTGCCTACATTTTGATGCTGGTTGGCATTGAATTTCAAATCTTACTTACAAGGTTTTAGAACAAAAGATGATGCCAATCAGCATCGAAACGTAGGCATGGTTCAATTAAATATATTCTGAAGAGGTTTTTGAACAATACATACAGTGTGTCCACTTAAGTTCACAGCATATGGGAAACTTTTTTATTATCAATTTTACGAAAAAAAGTTATTCTCTATAAAAGTTTTTGCTTCTTGAAAAAATAGTATTAAAATATCAAAACTTGAAATAGCATGTACAGGGTGGTCAGAAAACAGAAAAATATACAGGTTTTTTTTTGGTAAAAGTAGAAAAAAGTATTTTTTTAAACCTTTGATATTTTTTTCAGATTAAGCAAGTCATATTACAGTCAAAGGATATCCTTCGTTATCACAAACAAACCTGCCAAATTTGAAAAAAAAATTGAAAAAGGGATTTTTGAGTTAAAAAAAAAACGATTTTTTCTAAAACTTTGACACCCCGTATCTCAGAAACTACGCATTTCCGAACAAATGTCCATGAGAACTTTTTTTCTTGAAATATTATAAGGAATTACATCTCGAAGTTACGAAGCGTACTTAGAAAACACTTTGTGTATTTTTCCAATTTTTGACCACCCTGTACATGCTATTTCAAGTTTCAATAGTTTATTATTATTTTTTCAAGAAGCAGAAACTTTTATGAGGAATAACTTTTTTTCGTAAAATTGATAATAAAAAAGTTTCCCATATGCTGCAAACTTACTAAGTGGACACATTGTATAATATCAAGACCTCTATAGTGGTTTTTTACTCTACTCTATTTACTTATTAAATGTGGTTTTATACACTTAATGCATGTTGCTTTATTTGTCTTAATAATTGGTAAGTAGCTTAACTTTTTTCAATAATAGATTTTTTTTTTTTGCTTTAGAGTCGTCTTGCTAATAAGAAGCGGGGATTTTACGCCACTCTGCCTTACTGCATGACCCTTTTTTTTTCCTCCACAATGCACGGATTTTCTGTTGGTTTTTTCTTTTCGATTGTTACTAACTAGAACTAAGTACTTACTTAACTATTAGTTTTAATCTGTTGTATATATTACTTCTTGTAACTATAATTACTGTATTTCCTATTTTAAAAAATGGTACATTGAGCTTTACTGGTCAATTTTTAACTACTTTAATCAATTTTCCTAGTCAATAATAATGTGCAAGCAACAAGAAGTGAAAACCGTCCAAATTCTATTACCTGTTTTAAGTTAAATTAGAATTTGTTATTAGAGAGATTTGATGTAAGGCCGCTTCATTTTGGCCATCTTTTTTTCACAAGCAAAAATTAAATACATATTTATTTGCATTGTTACTGTAAATTTTTGAAATTCTCGATCCAATTAGATCATTTTAGCAAAATCACTTTGTATATTGGAAGAATCCATGTAAACTATCTGAAAACTCTTGAGATTCTTTACAAACCCTAAAAATTTAACCATTCTAAAATGTGTTCCAAATAAGTTAGAAAACGGGTTGTTTGTTCAAGAACGCTATTGAATTTCAGTTACTTTTGAAAACTTCTAATTTTTCAGGGAAAATAAAAGTAAAATCGTAGAATTTGAATGGTCGTGGAAGAGGATTTTTTTTATCAACAGGACGTTTTTTGAAAAATTTATCCAATTGGACTGTTTTAGCAAAATTACTCTTCAAATTGAAATTTATTTTTTCTCAGAGGAAATTAATATAAACTATCTGCAAGCCCTTGAAAAGTTGAATATTCTACAAAAAATGTTTCTTCTAGAAAGCATAGTTTTTCTTCTACGAGAGGCTTCAAAGTTGAGATCCATCTTTGAAAGGTATTTATATGTATACTTAGAAACCCCCCCTAACTCAAAACTTTTAGTACAGTTTTCTTATGTAAGACTGTAAAATATTAGTAGAGCATCAGCATTCATGAACATAGTTTGATCCAGAACACACCAGATTCAAAAACTTCAAAGTTGGTGACAGTTTTGTATGTAAAACTGTAGAAAAATAATGGAGCTACAATATGAAATTTTCGTAAGCATCGTTTTTTTTCTACAGACAACTGACAGTTTAGATTTCCCTTTAAACGACCAGTTGATGATTCTTTATGCTTAGAAGCCTCATATACTCAAAAATCTTGTAGGTCTGAAAAATAGTTTATGTGAAATTATAGTTTTGAGAAAGGTCGCTACTTCTTGTTGAGATTTTACTTTAAAAGATTGGTTTAACTGCTCAGGCTGAGAAGTTTGTAGGTTGTATGGCTGGTCAACAATTTCTTATATAAAATTGTAGAGCAATGAGAGTAGCTCTCTTATTTTTGGGAGTCTAATTGCTTTCACAGACGCCTGGCAGTTCAGATTTTCCTTTAAACGACCGGTTGGATGCTTCATTATGCTAAGAAGCCTCTCACTTAGTGATGTGCAACTTGGATACTCAAGAGTATCAGTATCGATCGGATACATTGGAAATTGGAACCTATGTGTTGGAATTGTTGAGAATTGGGATTTGGAATTACGCATAACCAGCGAAGAATCCCAGAGACTACAGCCGCAAAATTTATATAAATGTAGCATAGCGCACGGATTTCATACAAGTTAGAAAAACATGAATTTTTGTCTATTCCTGACTCTTGAATTTTTCTCTTCTTCAAACAAAGAAGATTCAGAAAAATAGACAAACTATGAGAGCTAGGAATAGGAAAATTATGTCTTTTTGTCTAAACATTTTTCTTCAATTTACCTTGAATTTTCTCAATATTTTCGTCTGAATTTTTGTCTATTTTTGGCTCTTAAATTTTTGTCTTTTCCAAACAACGAAGATTCAGAAAAATAAACAAATTAGGATAGCCAGGAATAGAAAAACTACGTCTTTTTGTCTAATTTTTTTTTTCAATTTGCCTCAAATTTTTTCAATATTTTCGTCTAAATTTTTGTCTATTTTGGCTTTTAATTTTTTGTCTTTTCCAAACAAGGAAGATTCAGAAAAATAGACAAACTATGAGCCCCAGGAAAAGAAAAACTACGCCTTTTTGTCTAAAAATGTTTCCCCAATTTGCCTTGGATTTTCTCAATATTTTCGTCTGAATTTTTGTCCATTTTTGGCTCTTGAATTTTTGTCTTTTTCAAACAAAGAAGATTCAGAAAAATAGACAAACTATGAGAGCCAGGAATAGAAAAACTACGTCTTTTTGTCTAAATTTTTTTTCCCAATTTGCTTCAAATTTTTTCAATATTTTCGTCTGAATTTTAGGCTCTTAAATTTTGGCTTTTTCCAAACAAAGAAGATTCAGAAAAAATAGAAAAATAGACAAACTATGAGAGCTAAGAATAGAAAAACTACCTCTTTTTGTCTAAAAATTTTTCCTCAATTTGCCTTGATTTTTCCTACTATTTTTGTCTGAATTTTTGTCTATTTTTGGCTCTTAAATTTTTGTCTTTTCCAAACAAATAAGATTCACAAAAATAGACAAGATATGAGAGACAGGAATAGAAAAATTACGTCTTTTGTCTAAAAATTATTCCCCAATCTGCCTTAGATTTTCTCAATTTTTTCGTCTGAATTTTTCTCTATTCCTGGCTCTTGAATTTTTGTCTTTTTTAAGCAAACAAATCATATTCAGAGAATATTCAGAAAAATAGATAAACTATGAAAGCCATGAATAAAAAAACTACATCTTTTTGTCTTTTTTTTTTCTAATTAGTCTAGGAGGCAGTGTGCAAAACCACATAATGGAAGATAAATAACTTGATAATTAGTGGACTGTATAATTAGGTGGACTGGATGATCGACTGGATAGGGAACTAAAACACACGCGCTTTTCACTGACACTATATTTACAACAATTTACACAATATTTACACTATTTACAATTACTACTACAAGATGACAAGAAGCCAGAGCTTGCTTAGATGCCCAACAGGGCAGAGCTAGATTATAAAATTTATTAAAATGTGAAAAGGTTTCTGGATGCTTGTTAACGTGGACAAGCTCCAAGCTACACTGCTGCAATGACAAAAATGGCGCGCAATATATTGACAGACATGACAAAATAGACATGACGACAACGCTGCAGTGTTGCAAACTTTATATGTATAAAAATATTTTGCCATCAAAAAGAGATAGCATGATTGTTGGAACATGTTTCCAACAGGCAGTGACGATTTTCGGTACTTATTTTCCCAGTCAGACAACATGAATAGAATTGTAGGGTAGGGGTAGCAAATTACACATATATTTAGGGAGGGGTTGTCTGATGGGTTGAGGCGCAAAATGCGTTAAGGTTTACGAATACACGGCCCTTTTTTTTCTCGGTGATAAAAAAAGGTCTACTAACGAGAAGTATACTGAAGCAAAGAATATTATAGTTAACACATAGAAAACCCACTCTTATGGGCGACGGCAGGCCGCTAGAGGCGCTGCTCCGGAGTTAAAAATTGAAATAATTTATAATCGCGCTAGCTTTCCGGCAAATAAATTTTAACAGCGTTGCGCGCTTTTCATCTCGGCATTTATTATTTTCTGTGATTTTACCTTGTAAGATGATAGACTAACATTAGATGATATGCTCGATAATATGTGAAAAAAAAGCAAAAGTTACAATAAATCATATAATAGACATTCACAAAATAATACAGTTGCTATACTAAATACCTAGTTGCTACGTCTAATTTGCTGTATTTAGGAAATAAAATCGGTCTTCTAAATAGGTAATGTAATTTAATATATAAAAAAAAAAAACATCTATTTTGATTAATATTAGGTAGGTAGGTACTTAAATATACATAAAACAGAAAATATATAAACTAAAACAAAATTATGCTGTAATCTTCTTAACACTATTTATTAATAACAAATGGGCAAATAACAAAC